GACCTGAGCTGAAGTCGGACGCTTAACCGACTGAGCCACCCCAGCGCCCCTGGGCTTTATTTTATACATTTAGATCTTCAGTCTACTTGGTATTTATTTTTGTGAATGGGGTGAATTAGAGATCCATCTTAATTTTCAAATGATAATCACTTCCTGAACAGTGTTTCTGAAATAAGCCCTCCCATCTCCTTTGATTTGAAATGTCAATTTACAAATGATCTAGGGCTTTTTTCTTTTTTAAGTTTATTTATTTTGAGAGAGAGAGAGAGCATGCACATGCATGCAGAAGGGGCAGAGAGAGGGAATGAGAGAGAATCCCAAGCAGGCTCCCACACTGTCAGCACAGAACCCAACGTGGGGCTCAAACTCACAAACTGAGATCATGACCTGAGCTGAAATTAAGAGTCAAACACTCAACTGACTGAGCCACGTAGACACCTCATCTCTTGTATATCCTTGATATAATTATCTGTTTCTGTGCAGATAACATACTGTTATAATTTTCTTTCTTCTTTTAAAAAAAATTTTTTAACGTTTATTCATTATTGAGAGACAGAGCATGAGAATGGGAGGGGCAGAGAGAGGAGGAGACACAGAATCTGAAACAGGCTCCGGGCTCTGAGCTGTTACCATAGAGCCTGATGCGGGACTCGAGCTCACAAACTGCGAGATCATGACCTTAGGTGAAGTCGGACGCTCAACCGACTGAGCCACCCAGGTGCCCCTCATGCTGTTATAATTTTCATGGCATCCTAATACATTTTATATCTTATCGGGAAAATTTTCCCTTCTTTCTTTCCTTGTTGTTGTTCTTCAAAACTTCATTAACTATTTTTCTCTCGTTTGCAGCAGTGATCAGGCAATGATATTATCATCAAAATTTTCTATTACAGCAGTATCTGATTCCTCACTGAATCTAGACAAAAAGATTTATTGGCAAGTTAGACACCTAATAGCCCCACTAGTCTGTGAGTTCTGTAAGGACGGGAACTATGCCTTATCCCTTTTTGTCTTCCCAATGTCTGGCAAATCACAAGCACGTAATAAATATAAGAATGAACTTATTTCAATTTATACTGTTATCCTAGAAGATGGTTCTAGGTGGCTATTCAACCAAAGGGAAAAACTGTTGGATTGTTTGTTATAATAGTACAGAATATTCCCTTTATTACTACTGAAAAGAGTATAGATAAATATGATCTTATACTAGAGATCTTACAGTATGACTATATATTTTGAAAGAATTTTCATTTTCCTCAATGAGCCTCACGTTAAGTTACATTTGGAATTAGGTAGGGAACGAATTAATATGATGTGCATTGTAAAGATGGAAAGACTAAAACAGGTGGTTATGTGATGGCTTTTGACATTAAATGTGGCAAAATTGATATCAGCCTTATGTTCTGAATGTCAGCCTTATCTATGGAGACTCTGCCGGTTTTGCCCTATATAGTAGTGTTTAGAAATGTAATTACAATTTGCACTTTATGTTTTTTCTTCCCCTGTGCTGCCTGATTCATTGACGCATGCTGAAGGAATTGGCAAATTGTCAACTGCTGATGGTAAAGCTTTTGCAGACCCTGAGGTACTCCGGAGACTGACATCCTCAGTAAGTTGTGCACTAGATGAAGCTGCTGCTGCACTGACCCGAATGAGAGCAGAAAACAGCCACAATGCAGGACAAGTAGACACGTATGTGTATATAATGAATTCTTCTGGATATTAGACATTTTCTGGAGTGGACTTTGGGGAAGTAACAAATTTTGGTCAAGTATATCTTTTGGAGGGAATTATAAACTTTAGCTAAGTGGCTATTAGAATGGCTATTAATGTTTTAAGTATATATATATATGGCGTTATATATATATGTATATAAAAATAGATATTAGGGGCGCCTGGGTGGCGCAGTCGGTTGGGCGTCCGACTTCAGCCAGGTCATGATCTCGCGGTCCGTGAGTTCGAGCCCCGCGTCGGGCTCTGGGCTGATGGCTCAGAGCCTGGAGCCTGTTTCCGATTCTGTGTCTCCCTCTCTCTCTGCCCCTCCCCCGTTCATGCTCTGTCTCTCTCTGTCCCAAAAATAAATAAAAACGTTGAAAAAAAAATTAAAAAAAAAAAAATAGATATTATATTTTTATTCTTGCATTCTACTCATATTCATTGAGCATTCTTGTGGAATGAAAATACCACAAGTGAGAAATCCAAAGTGAATAAAGATCTGATTTCTATTTCTAAGGCCGTTACTTACTCTAATGATTATCCTAGTACACTCTAAACTGACTGCTTAAGTAATAATAAATGAAATAGGTTGCTCTAATCCAAGTGCTTGCTACTCAAATATGATTCGTAAGTAGCAGTAGCAGCAAGCAGCGCCTTAGATCTCATTAGAAATGCAGAATTCCAGACCTCACCTCAGAGCTACTCAATCAGAATCTGTATTTTAACAAGAAAAATGGGTGATTCATGTGCATATTAAAGTTTGAGATTTATCAATTTTTTTTTAATGGTTATTCATTTTTGAGAGACAGATAGACAGACAGTGTGAGCAGGAGAGGGGCGGGGCGGGGGGGGTGCGGCGGGAGACACAGAATCGGAAGCAGGCTCCAGGCTCTGAGCTGTCAGCACAGAGCTTAATGCGGGGCTCAAACCCACAAACCACGAGACCATGACCTGAGCCAAAGTTGGACACTTAACCAACCGAGCCACCCAGGCACCCCCCCTTTTTTTTTTTAAGTTTTGGGGTTTTTTTGTTGTTGTTGTTTTAAGTAACCTCTACACCCAACATGGGGCTTGAACTCACAATCCTGAGATTAAGAGTTGCATGCTCTACTGACTGAGCTAGCCAGGCTCCCTGATTTTGTTAAACATTCTGTAGTAAAATTTTTACATAGATTGAAACTTCTGTTACCAAATAAAATTTTAAACCATGGAATTATATCCCAAATGTCTTTGGGGATTGTTGCATTGGTAGAGTTTAAAAACTTGTACATGTACTTTATTTAAAATTTAATATGACAATATGTTAGAACATTTCACAAAATAAAAATGACAGCTGTTTTCATATTCACTTATTGCCTTTCTGGCTTGGTTGGCCTACATGAATAATTAGTATTGCAAACAAGATGCTCAGCACACAAAATGTTCATGCAATTTTTTTCCTTACCATATCAACATTTTTCTATGTATGACTCTTTGTATTTAATGTAATTTATTTTGAGAGGGTTCTGAGTCTTTCTGTGTTGGCTAATTGTTGATGGTTTTGTTTTCAGTCGTAGTCTGGCAGAAGCTTGTTCAGATGGGGATGTGAATGCTGTTCGTAAATTGCTAGATGAAGGCAGAAGTGTAAATGAACATACAGAAGAAGGAGAAAGTCTGCTGTGTTTGGCTTGTTCAGCAGGGTATTATGAATTAGCACAAGTAAGCAGAAATTATCTTGAGTGATTGAAATTGTGGAAGGATTTTGATTTTTGTTATCACTAATAAAAGAAATTGTAATTAGAGGGCAAGTTCTTTCCTTTCAGGCAGTGGGTAAAATAGAAACTGTACATAATTAATTTTGTTGCCTACACACGCAATTGGGCATGGTCCATTTTTCTGCTCAAAAATTTTTTTACTCAGAACTCTTCCTAATGAATAAGAAGCACATAGAAATAATAGTAATATTTTAAAACATCCTTAGAAATAATACACAGCTATAATGGAAAGTAGTGATTTATTTTCATTTCATCCAGATTACCTCAATTCTTACTGTTTTTTCTGTCTGTTTTACCAGTATTGGGAAATACCCATGTGTTTACCAGATAGTTTCTGTTTGGGGAGTATAGTTTTGCTGTTCTCTTGCTAGATAATCCCAAGCATAACACAAATTCTTTCAAAAGAGCAGTTAACATTTTATCATGGGTTGGCTAATGTGATTACCTACATTACCTAAAGATTAATATGTAATGGAATTGTAAAAAATAACGTCTAACTTAGTGTTTTAAGTGGTGAGCACTGGCATATTTTCCCAAAAGGTGGTTATTTTTTTATTTTTCTTCACCCCCACTCTAAAAGAATATCTTTCCAGATTCAGTATATTCTCTAGAAGTACTATTAGTAGTAAGAATTGACATTCCCTCTGTGTGTATGTGTTTTAAAGGTATTGCTTGCTATGCATGCTAATGTTGAAGATCGAGGGAATAAAGGAGATATAACTCCCCTGATGGCAGCATCCAGTGGAGGTTACTTAGATATCGTGAAATTATTACTTCTTCATGATGCAGATGTCAACTCCCAGTCAGCAACAGGTAAGTAGAAAGTGATGTGTAAATTTGAGGAAAGGAAATTGATATATTTAATTGTAACCTGAGAGATAAAAATTTGATTTTTACATCTGCGCAACAGTAGTGAACCTACAGAAAAATCTTAGCCATTGTTCAGGATCTCTGAGTAAAATATAAATTAATTTGATATCAAAAGACTGAGATTGTGTTTGCCTAAGAGTGACAGTTTTCCTTTTGGGGACACTTTCTTTTTTGCCATAATGATATGTAACATATAAAGAGGCAAAATTATGAACTGTATCTCTTATAATTCTTTATCTCATTTAAATCCAACTCTCTTGTCTTTAGATTATAAATTAACCTGAGGTTATTTACCCTGTGGTAAATAATTTTCATGTCAGGCATACCGAATGCGTTTACTATTAAGATATTCTTGTGGCAGAATGAAAGTTATTATAGTAAGGGCTGTTCGTTTAGTTATTTGTGTTTCCCAGACACACAGACTGGAGGAGCCTTGGTCATGTGTCTTGAGTTATAAGTATAGTTTTAGTGGTAGGATTCCTTGGATTTAGTGAGGCAACAACATAATTTTTAAAAATTTGCATAATGAAAGCATATCAGTGTTTCATACCATTAAGTGAATATTAAATGTAGCCTTATTTTTTTTAATGATTTTCTAAAGTGAATTTATTTATTTTGAGTGAGCGTGAGGGTACATGCAAGAGGGGAAGAGCAGAGAGAGAGGGAGAGAGAGAATCCCAAGCAGGCCCTGCACTAACAGTGAGGAGGAAGCCCCTAGGAAGTCTTGCTCATTTTAAAAATAAATTAGGTGAGGGGCGCCTGGGTGGCGCAGTCGGTTAAGCGTCCGACTTCAGCCAGGTCACGATCTCGCAGTCCGTGAGTTCGAGCCCCGCATCGGGCTCTGGGCTGATGGCTCAGAGCCTGGAGCCTGTTTCTGATTCTGTGTCTCCCTCTCTCTCTGACCCTCCCCCGTTCATGCTCTGTCTCTCTCTGTCCCAAAAATAAATAAACGTTGAAAAAAAAAAAAATTTAAAAATAAATTAGGTGAGATGCCTGGGTGGCTCGGTGAGTCAAGCTTCTGACTCTTGGTTTTGGCTCAGGTCATAATCTCATGGTTCATGAGCTTGAGCCCCATCCCCGGCTCTGTGCTGACAGTATGGAGCCTGCTTGGGATTCTCTCTCTCCCTCTCTCTCTGCTCCTCCTCTGCTCATGTTCGCTTTTGCGTGCATGCGCTCTCTAAATAAACAAACTTCAAAAAAAATAATAAAATAAGCAAGACTTCCCAGAAGGATTTGTAGACCATTTTGCTGACCACTTTGTCTTAGTTGTAATAATAGTAATATGCTTAATGTGTAACATGGTTGAACAGTTGAATTCTGAACACATTGGATTCTTTAATGTTACTCTTCTTGCTGAATCTTTAAAACAGTCTTCTTTAGTCTCATACTGTTGGATAGTTAAACCACTTCTCTTACCCCCTCTAATAAATAAAAATCCTCAAAATAAAATCAGGAAAGAAAGAAGTGGCAAACCAAGGGATAATGACCTTGTAAAGAGATTTTTCTTTTGAAGGAATTATGCTGAGGGGGGTTTATATCTTCCTACTTCATTAGCTTGTCAAGTGAGATTAAGTGTCATTTAAAAAAAATCCCCCTTGGGGCGCCTGGGTGGCGCAGTCGGTTGAGTGTCCGACTTCAGCCAGGTCACGATCTCGCAGTCCGTGAGTTCGAGCCCCGC